AAAATGAAATATCAATAATGCCACAGCATCCTCGGTAATTCTGAAATATAGCTCTACCATATTTGGAACTTTTGAGATAAAATGAATAAAAGTGAAATGTCCAGAGAGATGAAGTATTCCATTTTTTTTGGACGTTATAATGACTACAGATAGCTTGACTGATTTATAGGAAATTTTACAGATTGTCATGCAATTTTAAAAGCTAAGGGTTCACACATGTAAAGAGGAAAAGGAAGTAAAAGAATAATAAAAAATATTCAGCAGATCTACTAAGTGATTAATTCCTTATTAAAACTTAAAATGAGCTCCCACAGTGAAAGGTAACAGAGAGTACAAAGAAGGCAAACTGTTTGCTCTACTGTTTAGTTTTCAAAGTACCTTTGAGACTCACTTTTTTTTTTAAGTCAACAGAGCAGGGAGTTCAATTCCCACTTAAAAAGTAATGAGACAAAATCTTGGGCAAGGTCACAGACAATGAATAAGAAAGCCGAGATGAGAACACTGGGCTTCTAACTTCCTAACCGGTAAGTGGCACATTCTCATTCTGGTGACAACATTTACTATCCACATAACCTCAGTAAGGCATTTAACTCTTCTGAAAACTCAGTCAAGCTTCAGAACAATTTTAAAAATATCTAGAAAAGGTTCCTCGGCTAAATAAAACTGACTCTTGGGGGCTGATTACAGAAGCTTTCATTCACAGACACATTTGTGAACCACTGAGAAGTCCAAAGCAGTGAAGTTTCAAAAAATAAAACTGGTAATTGGATCATTAAGAGAAGAGCAGCAAGATACACAATAAACTTTGTCAGCTGGGATGACATACACTATTGAGATGCCTTGTTTAAACCGATGTTCTGGTCATTAGAAAGGGTGTGTGCAGGTGTCATCAATATTTTTCAAAGAGATAGACATAAAGGTAAATTCTACTGAAACTATAATAAAGATTTGACTTTTCTTTTAATAAAATTTCAGCTAAAGCATACTGGTTTAAAATATTTCAAACATACTCATGGTCCTGAATAATTCTTATATATGTATGTACATGTAAGCACCTGCCCCCCAAAGTTTTTTAATAAATAATAATGACTCTAAACATAAACTAGCAATCTCCTATTGATGGCAATTTTAGGGGAGCAAAGGGAAAGTTCTGTATTAATGTCCTGAAAATTCCAGACTATAAATGATTCAGAAGAAAAATAGAAGAAGAGAAATAAGAACATATGAGAGTAAATAAGGTCCAGAAGATACAAAAGTAATGGTGATTTCAAAAAGCAACATGTCTTATATAAGAAACACAAATAGAAAAAGAAAAAAAAAAAAACAGGGGAAATTCAATCTTGCTTGATCATCAGGAAAAGCCAGAAATTATTCATTCAGGACAGTTCTTTATTGGAATGACAAGAGTACATAAAATAGTTCTTTACATAATTCAGTTTATTCCTCTGAAATTATCTAAAAACGTCACCTACTCTCTTTCTTCTCTGTCTTTGCTCCTTGTTGATTGGAACTCTTGCAGTTTCTTTTCCAGCTCATGGTTCTCCAACTCTAACTGCACTTTCTCCATCTTCAGTTCTCGGACATTTCTGTATAGGATTTAAAGGCAGAATGTTCATTTGGGATAAACCAACAAAATCAAAGCTAAGTAATTTTATATCAACTTTTTCTTTTAAGCAAAATTATGAGTAATAAATAGTGACAAAGCATGTTAACTACTTTCTTTGTTCTTTAAAATACAGTTTCTAAAGTTAGCATTTACTTTCTATTCAAGCAGGTATCTCTGCAAATCTTAGACTTTTATGTTTCCCATTGCATTGCTTGAGGTTTTAAATCATAATTCACTTTATATATGAGCTATGCCTTTCTATATGAACAAATATCTATGGCACACAATAGTAAACAAAGGAAAATTATTTTTAAATTTTATACTGTCTTTTCTCTAAGGATTCAAGTGTTTTTAAAGCACAGTGTTTAAAATAACCATTTTTTCAATGTAAGCAGAATACATACCTTTGCTAAATCTTCAGTAAATTTCTATCTTTACGTCATATATATATAATAAAAAAATTAAATATGAAAAAAAAAGAACAGAGCCTGCTTGGAGAAAGCACCTATTAGGGTTTGGGTACAGGACCCATCGAAAAGGTTAAATGGGAACTGAGACAAGCACCACCAATTGTTTCCTCTGAAGAAAAACAATAAGAAGATAAATTTGTAAGCAATAGCCCCCTAATAATAATAATATAATAATATCTGAAGCCCACCAAGCTTTTGGCATAGCCATTTCCTTCATTTTACATTCTATTCTCTAGTCAGCATGTCATTGACTCTTTCATGGGTCTAAGAGCTCACCTCGTTGTCTATCTTTTATTACCTATGATGAGTTTAAATCTCTATTTTCTGTATTACATGAGTGGCTTACTATAATCATGTAGCATGGGCACCCACACATGCTATTGCAAGAAACCAAAATAAGAGTAATGAAAATCAGAAAAGAGAACTAATTTATAGAGATGGTGAGGAGTCCCAAGGAGCAAGGGAGCCAAAGGTATGTCCCCAAATGAACACAATGCAGGGAGATATATAAAAAGTGACAAGGGGAAAAGGCTGTCCAGAGGGTTTAGGGAAGCTGGCAAAGATACTGGGGGAAAGGCTTGTTTTCATTATCTCTGCTCCACAAGGCGTAATTCAGCCCCTACTACATACCATACACTCACTAAATTAGGAGTAGAATATGAGACCCAATGGAGATTCTAGTATAGAGAGGAACACAGACAAGCATGAGTGTAGTTGAGATACAGTATGATGGTGAGCTCACTGCAGGTGTGCAGGGAGGTACCTGAGCATACCGAAAGGGCACATATCCAGCCCCTGGAACTGTAGGAACAATTTTGTTTACTAACATCCTGAGGACAGATTATGACTTCTTACACTTATTTCCACCATTCCTAGAACTCTGAATAAGTGTTTGTTGGATGAATGTTTATAAGTATGTACACACAGACTTGGAACATATCACTAACATCAAATGCACATCCCCTTCTCTTTTAGCAGAATAAAGGGAAATTGGCAGTACCAGCAATTGCAAACCTCCCCTCCCCACCAAAAAAAAATGTGAATCCTTATCATGATAACGCCATAAATTTGTATCACATTTTCTAGTTACACAGTACTTTTACAGTAAAGGGAGAATTAGGAAAGCTCTGAAGACATTGAATACCATAGGACCATTGATCTGGATTAGGGAACTCAGAAATTAAAATTAAAAACCAACAGTCTGTTCCCAACCTATGCTAGCTGGCTCTTAGTGATATTGGAGAGGAAGACCTTGGTTATTTTCAGGGACTCTAGATGATCTCAAAGGCAAACAGGATACTGAACTTCTGGCATCCCCGCCATGTCATGAAATTCCCAGAATACCCAGAGCTGCTTGGCTGTGGCTGAATGCATCTACCCGGCAATCTAGGACAGAAGGTATTCTTCCTGAGAAAGGTGAATTCAACATAGCATCTTTTAACCATGCGAAGTGCTCAATTAGTGAGGACTTCTTTTTTCCTGTTAAAAGGTCACTCACCCTAATAGTCTCCTTAATTTTTAGTTTCGTTCAGTTTTTCTCAGAGAAATATCTTTTTTTTAATTTTATTTTATATAAGTGTCACAAAAATATTTGTAACTTTCTGCTATAGTTTTAATAGTAAGCACAACCTTCATTTATAACGTTTCCCTTCTATTCCTGGGGCATAAATATTTTATTCCTTACTTTTTAAACTATTATCAGGCCAACTCTCTAATAGATGAACATAAGAGCTGTGAAAAAATAGAGATAAGAATTCACAAATTTAGAGTTCAACTCTAAACAGCCTTATGTAAAAATGCTTTCAGTTACAATATACAAAAACTTTAGAATTATTTCTCCCTAAGTAAATACGTATGCACTTACTTATATTTTAGCTTCACAGAATGTCCAGGTTTTCCCCATGGAAGAACTACAAAGTCTTTGCTGTTCATGATAACTGTCTTAATATTTTCTAGAAATTATTGTTATTTGTGGAAACTTCTGAAAAAGCAACAAAGACAAAAGCATTATGTCAGCGGTAAAGACGTTAACTTACAAATTTGAAACTACGTATAACTCAGAAACTGTTATGAGGGAAAAGGCTAAATCAAAGGTTAAGCAACAACAAAAAATTATATGTGGTAAATTATAATTTATATACATTTACATACCAATAAAGTTATAAATACAACATTTCTGATGGAAATAAAATTTTACCAATAATTATGTAGCAAAAGACTATGGCAATATTCAACTGAAAGTGATGAAAGCATTCATAAACACAAGTAGAGTACACATTCTGGCTCTTTCTATGTTAAGGTTATAAAAATATACATCATGTATTTGTTCTCATCCAAAAATAACATCAAGGCTAAATATAGTGAAAAAAAGAGATACAATCCAAACTTAAAACTCCTTTTTTTTTGCATATATGGTCATGTAAGATGAGAATAAAGGTATATAATGATTACCCAAAGGCATTTTAATATTCTCATTTATCAAAGAAAATTTTAATGATGCTCTTAGCCTAAGGTCATAAATTAGCATATTTAGAAAGACTTTTCAATAAGAAATAAAACAAAATAGATTTTCTGCCTAATTCTAAGTTAACCAGAAAATTAAATTATTCAGAACACCCTATTTCCTGAGTATCCCAATTATTCATGGTCCTATAATAATTTACTCTGCAATGCTGAATTACTGAATCACATGCAAAACTATTAAATATTTATATGAATAAAAATTTCCAAATTCTAATACTCTTTAGAAATAGAAGAGGCAATATCATAAAGTCCTTACGCTTAAGTGCTCAAACCATTTGATACTATCAGTTTATATATGTGTTCTTATATGCTCATACCCCTATAAATATTTGTTAAGGCTGTGCTATATGCAAAGTACTGGGCTGAAAGGCATGAAGGAGTCAAGGCCCAAGAAAATTTATTGTTTGGGCTCAAATGGCAGGGTCAAATATGGCATTTAATATGTAAAAGCTATAAAACAAGGTGGAAATGATAAGGGCCATAAAACTTGTACATATAATAATGGAAGTGAGAGAAAAGAGAGAATTCTAGCTGGCTAGTATTTAAAGTATAGCTTTAAGTAGAAACAGGGCTTATATATGATGATATGGATTGAATGGTCATTCTATACTGTAAGAAAGTACAGCTCTTAAATGGGGACTGACTGCTTCCATTTGATTGATGTATAGGTTACATGAAGGGGGAAAAGTAGGCATAAGTTTGGAAATGTAGGCTGAGGCCCAATAATGGGTGGCTTTATATGCCAACATAAAGCTTTTGGAATTTATTCTGTAGCTAAGGAGAGTCACTGAAAGTTTTAGAGAAAAGAATAGAAAATAACACTAGAAGCTTTGCACAGACTTAAGAGTAGGCATCAGAATATGAATAACCAAATGGAAGGTTATTGTAACTTCAAAGTCTACACAACCACTTTTAAGCAATAAAACAAAATTTTAAAAAAAAAAGTCTACACAACCAAATGACTATTCATTGTTGTTCTTTAAGGAAACATAATTTCAATGATGCAACCACTGATCAAAACATTTTTGGAATGTCTCTTTTGAAACCGGTTTCAGAATCCATCATACCCTCAAAAATACAGACAAATCTATTTTGTTGTGTTTCATTTAAAATAAAAATGCCCAGCAGAAGCAACTACTTTGTTCACTCAAATCTAGTTTCAAATAACCCTACCTCCAAAAATCAAATCTACCATGAAAGGGTAGACTTGTACAACCTTGGCGGAAAGTCTGAAGGAATTTATTCTTTGAAGATAATTATGAAATGGAATTTTACAAAATAATTTTAAATTGTAAGCAAATGTAGTGAGTGGTTGCATCATAGGAGTATGTATATTTCTGCCTTTGATCAACATTTATGTAGCTGCTCCTTTGTGATCCCAGTTACTGGTACTGAAGTCACAATGGTAAATAACATGGTATCTTCCCTCAAAGAACTCACAATCAAAGAGAAAGCCACACAAGCAATAGCAATACCATGGGACTATCCAACAGAAGGACTAGGGAGGAACACCCAACTCAGATTCGTTTCTCAACCACCACCTCCTGTCTCTCAAAGCTAAAATCGGTGTCAAAAAGAGCTACCACAGGAACAGAAACCTAGGATTTTGTTTGCTTTTGAGGAGGATGCTTCTTCTTTGTAGGTAAAATCTCTCCTTTTTATCAAACAGAGGCTACAAAAGCTACCTTTAATAAAACCTCCAGGAATAATCCTGCTTCTATATCCCTTTTTTAATTATAATCAAGAAATCCAACTATTGGACCCTAGTCTACTGTTGGTAAGTTTTGCAAGAAAAGTAATACTTCATCATTATCATTATCATTAAAAAAGTAAAAGATCCACAGTTAATGTGTCTAATTAATTAAAATAATTTACAGAGCCCTGACTTTATTTATGCATTGAGATACACAATTTTTTGTGTATGTACATATGCATAAAGCGGATCTGATACGGAAAGACTGAAATGAATGGAAGTCAGTGAATTTCATTAACACGAGATGATTCAGATTTATATCTCTGCTGATAATGTGATTTAACCAATAAATGGCCTTATTCAGAGGGCATTTCACTTCACTGAATGCAATTAGTAAGGTTTCTTCTCAATTGAATGTTTTATCGAGTCACACACATAAGCCAATTTTCTTGTCTGAAAAAAAAAAAGAAAGACTAATCATGAGTCATTCTGTTCTGCATGTTTCCTTTCTTAAAACCAACAGAGAATCAGTCACCTTTGTTGGGACAGCAAGGATATAACAATGTCATCAAGAAGAATTGCAAAGCACAAAACTTCAGTTGCCTAATCAGGGGATATAGATAAAATCCCTGTGATGCAAACCTCCGCCTGTCCTCTGGTCACTCATTTTTTGTCTTATCATTAAATCCAAAAAGTTTAGTAGTTATTTGGAACATTTTCTAGTAAGCTGATTCATTAGGCTGCATAGTTTTTCTGTCCCCAACCTTGTTCTTGCCCACACGTTTACAAACAATATGACCCAAAATTGTCCATGATGGTTTGATGATCCTTCTACCTAGTTCTCACCCTGAATGCAACCCAAGCACCAAGGCCTGCTGCCATCAGATGGAAACAAGGAAATTAGGATGAGCTATACATCTAAAAACTCAGAGCATTCATCAAGAGTTGCCCTAGCTGTCCAACAGGCATGGCTCAGTGGTTGGGAACAAGGCCTATGAACCAGGTCATGATTTGATTCTGGTCAGGGCACACGCCCAGGTTGAGGCTTCGATTCCCAGTGGGGTCGTGCAGGAGGCAGTCAACCAAAGATTATCTCATTGCTGCTGTTTCTATCTCTCTCCCTCCTTCTCTGAAATCAACAAAAATACATTTCACTAGGGGGGTGAGGGCATGTGCTGGGGGTGGGAGTGGCCAGGGAGAGGTCAAAAGGGGAAAAAGGAGACATATGTAATACTTTAATCAATAAAGAATAATAAATAAAAGAGTTGCCCTGGTCTCCAAGAATTTACCATCAGGACACTGGTAGAATGGGAGGTTTAGGAAAACACTGTTTTCAAGGTGGGCCATTTTGCATAACTGAAAACTTACATCAGATTAGTTGCTTTTTCTAAAGATTCAGATAATCTTAAGCCTGACAGGTTAAAAGCCAATAAATCAGGATTTTTTAATATTAGCACATATTCTAAAAGGGTCTAATAAGCAAGCTCTTTTGGATGGATTAACATGTTTAGCATGTACTTAGAAATCAGGGACCTAAGCAAGAAATGTTAAATGAAAATACATATTAAAAATAGTAGCTTTAAACTCTTAAGAGTTGAAATTTTAATATTTTCTCTGATACCATTATTCCAGATATATATATATTTTTAAATATTTTCTTAAAAATCTAAAGAAAAAGCTGATAATATGTAATCCCTAGCATAATAACTTGTGCTTGCGTGGACTGCTAAATGAATGCATGGCACTTCCTTCTAGCACAGGCCCTGAAAGCAAAACAGGCCTTGACTTTCACGCTGCACTCACCCCTTCCGCCACCCCACCCAGCTGAGCATTAAGCTTGGCTCAGGGCTTCATGTTACCCAGGTCACCCATGGTTCACATTCTATATGCAGGCTCCCTTGAGAACAACTGAGAAAGTTTCTTCAGATAGCAAGGGGCAAGATATCATTTTAAAATACTTTCCAACTAAAAATGAAAATATTAAAAGATACTGTGTTTAAGTTCAGAAGACTTTGTGTCAGAGTGATCTCTGAGCTTTGCTTTATCCACATGATGAAAACGGTGAGGATCCCCGCCCTCAGCCCCCAATCTGCAGGATATCTGTGGCCTGTAAAATACTGGGCTCCTAAGAAACCTCCAGGGAGCTTGGGGTACAGAGAAGGGGTAACCTTAGAAACTACCTTGCAAAGGGAATGGGGGGATCACTAAAGGCTCTGCTTTACCCACAACTTCTCTGAATTTATCTATTTTACATAATGAACCTCTGGGTCAGATTTAATATAAAGAAACTCTTTTATAGCTTAAAAACATTTTGAAAGGCATGAGAGTAAAGTAATATACAATTGTTATTAATCCTGTATTAACTAGAAATATCTGATTATAAATAGCAATAAAAATATTAAATTTATAAACCATAACTTTCAGAAAAAAAAAAGCTTTCATATATAGGGTATCCCAGAAATATATATACACACGTTGAATGATTATAAAGTCAGTGTACATTAACATATAGTTCATCTTCAAAATTTAAAAGAATCTACAGAAATGATTTTTCTTTTTTGCCAACGCCTTTTTTTCAAACTGATGACCGTTCTGGTCAGGCATTGCTGATAGCATGAAGCAACAGAATCACAAACATCAAGAATCATTTCATTAGGTATTTGTGGCCCTCAATTCATTAACTGATGATGGTTTTGTGATGTAACTTTACCTTTTATGTTTCCCCTTTAAAAAAAAGTGTAGTGGATAAATTTCCTTTG